CCACATTCCTTACATTCATAGGGTTTCTCACCAGTGTGAATTCTCTGATGTCGAGTAAAGTTTGAACCACTACTGAAGGCCTTTCCACATTCCTTACATTCATAGGGTTTCTCACCAGTGTGAATTCTGTGATGTCGAGTAAGGTCTGAGCCACAAATAAAGGTTTTTCCACATTCCTTACATTCAAAGGGTTTCTTGCCAGTATGAATTTTCTGATGATGAGTAAGTCTTGAGGGATGTCTAAAGGACTTTCCACATTCTTTACATTCATAGGGCTTCTCCATGGTATGAATTACCTGATGAGTAGTAAATCGTGAGCCATGTCTAAAAGTTTTCCTATATTCTTTAGTTGCACAGTATTTGTCTTTATTATTAATGATTTGTTGTAATGTAAAGGATGGATGCTGACTGAAAGTGGGCATGTCTTCATGAGTGAATATCATTTGACTGAAATGTCCCTCCTGAGAGCCATGTTGTTTCTCAAACTGGCCATTACATTCCCAATCATCTCTGAAACTAGAGCATTGAAGGTCATGTCCTGTAAATTTTTCCATTATCTCCCACTGGGCTGACTCTATTTCATAAATTTCCTTCTTCAGAAATAATTTCTTGGTCTCACATCTTGATTCCAGGACTGAAAGAAAATATGAAAGCAATCACTCATATTTTTTTTGTTTAGGAGATACAAAACTTTAATTAAAATTGAGAATTTAACCAAATTTTTAAAAAAAGGGATGAGGAAAAAAGAGTGATAGTGAGATCACATCAGAAGATGAGGATAGTGTTTAGGGAAACAAAGGAAGTCACAGGTTCCCAAACATTGCTATAGATCAGAATTACTTTGGGAAGCTTGCTAAATACTTATAAGCCTTAGTCTTATCTTCCTTGTTACAGGATGACTCTAATCATACACATACACACACACACACACACACACACACACATACATACACACACACAACTTAGCATATAGACACAAAGATATATAATAGTAGCTAATAGCAGGAACTATAAAATAAGAGAAATGATCACACCTACTTAACAGGGCTGTTGTTCAGTATAAAACAAATATGTCTAATGGAAAATTTCCAGAGATTGACAAACTATGGTCTATAGCCCTACACCCATTTTTATAAATTAAGTTTTATTAGAATACAACTACATTTATTACATATTGTCTATGGAGGCTTTTGAGCTACAATGGCAAAAATAAGTATTAATATTTATGACAGAGACCGCATGGACTACAAGCCTAAAATACTTAGTATCTACACCTTCAAGAAAAAGTCTGCTAGCCCCTGGTTAGATCTGTATTGTCCATTATCGTAGCCACCTGCTACATGTGGCTATTTAAATTTAAAATAACTAAAATTAAATAACATTTCAAATTCAGTTCCTCAATCACACTATTCACGTTTCCAGTGTTCAATAGCGAAATGTAGCTAGTGGCTTCCGTACTGGAAATCATAAATATAGGACATTTCCATCATCACCTGATGTTCCATTGGACAGCACTAGTCTAGACTCTGTAATTAGAGGGCCGGAGATCTTTAACAAACAAGGAAATAGAGGATGGCAGTCTAAGGCCTAGCTTAAGAAAAGGCAAGTGTTGAAGGAACATAGTATGAGTGATAGAATACATGTGAATAGATAAGGTATATGTTGGGGTTTGAAGAAAATACTGTTTGCCTTGGAATCTTGAGATGCTGACCTCGGGAGAAGAGAACAGGGGACTTAACAAGTGCATGAGCACTATGGTAGTGACTACTGACTGACAGGAAAGGCATTGTAGGTTCAAAGAGAAGGGAAGAAAGTAAACTGGAAGACAGTGTATTGTACTGAAAGATCAGAGGTACTAGATTTAGTATATGAGCTTCAAACTCAGATAACTATAAGCTTTGTTTTCTTGGACAAATTAGTTCTTTCTGAGCCTGCAGTTCTCTAATACAATAGGAATGATAACTCCTTTGATTGTTGTGAGGACTGGGAAAAATGTATGTAAAGTACTTGGTATAAAATAAGTGGGAGATAATACTATGGAAGAATTTCTACACAAAAATGGGGATGTTAGGCAAGAGAAGTGTTTTGAAGACTACAACTAGGGACCCACAGGGAAAAGCTCAAGCCAAAAAGGTGAAAATCATTCTAAGTACCATCTTCTTCCTCTTACTCCCATACAATCATTCAGCAAATTCTGCCTAGCCTTATTCCTTAATCTCTCTTGAAATACTTCTCTTCCTTCTCTATCCAATACAATACCTAATACAAAACATCTCTCTCCTGGACTCTTAGACTCCTACCTAGTTTCCCCATTTGAGGTTTGCAATCCTGAATATGTACCACTAGAAAGACATTAGCCTGCCACAGCTCTGCTTAAAACCAGTGGCTTCCAATACAATATTGCTCTTACAATAAAAGCCAAACTCTTGAACGTAGTCTACAAAGCTCTGAATAATCTGGTTCCTGCCTGCCTTTTCAACCAGATCTCACACAATGCTCCCCCCTTGCTTTCTAAGCTTCATCCTCATTGGTTTTATTTTTCAGTTCTTCAAATGCCTCCAGCTCTCTGTCCCTCTGAAGGTCTTTCCAGGTACTTGTTCTTAAGTCTAGCGGTGTTTTCTTTCATTCTGGGCCTTGATGACTACTGTTCATTTTTCAAAGCTCTACCTTAAGGTCATACTTTTCAAGGCCTTCACTGATCCCTAAATTATGCCTCACTTGTATTAATAATTACCTATTTAGTACTCTGCTCTCCTCTTTACCAGGATTTTCAAAATTTGTAATTATATATTCATTAGGGTTCATGTAACATGTTTTTTCTTCAGTAGATCTTAAGTTCTATGAGGGCAAGGATAATGTCTGTCATGTTCCCTAATGTGTATTTAACTCTGAGGCACAGTATTTGGTACATATTGGAAGGTCAACAAATATTTATTTATTGCTTCAATCAGCAATTGTCTAACTAAACATATACTTCTTTTTTTTTTTCCTTCAAACTCTGTTTTTTTTGTTTTTTTTTTTTTGAGACAGAGCCTCACTCTGTTTCCTGGGCTAGAGTGCCAAGCTCAGGCAACCTCAAACTCCTGGGCTCAAGCAATCCT